TTTTGGGTGCAGGTTTTTTCTGGCCACCCTGGTACGCTTACATGTAGCTTTAGTTTAATTACCTTTGCTGTAGCTATGTTCATTTTTTGACTATCATTAAAGTGGGTTATGGCGTTACTCCCAGGCCATATCCAATATTCTCCAGTATTTGTTGGCTATTTTCGTTTCTTGTTTTTCTATTAACTTCTGGTAAGTGCAGAAAAAAAAATTCTCGGATTCCGGATTCCACAGGCAAAAATTTCACGGACTCCGGAATCCTGATACCCTAACATGGCGCGAATTCTTAACCGATTCGGCGCTGGATGAGTAACTTGCTAAACATCGTTCAGTTGGTATTGTCAGTAAAATACTCCTACCATTTTTAGCGTTTTCTTTTTTTGTCGACGCATGAGCTTTCCACTTCAAGCTAAACCAACCGCCATTCATTGGAACAAACGTAAGTTTAAATGTTCCGGTACATTTAATTTGCAAATTAAAGAATTCTCACGAATAAAGCTCTTTTTCCGTGATTTCCCACCCTCTTGGAGCCCTTGAAGGGGAGCAATTTCACCTTTATGATTCCAAGAGCCAAAACATGGCAACATACTTCTTTTTAAATAAAACTTGATCCCTTTCGTCAAATCTTAAACCACACGGCATTGTTTTGAACAAACACGATGAAAATGCACCTTTCTCTCTTCAAACTGCAGTCGGCACTGTGGATAGATTGAAACTTCTAAGCTCCTAGCGCTGGGTTTACCCCCAAACAGAATGCTCCGGTTTAATTTCAAGTGTCTTGATATAAATCAGCTAACTCACACGCTTCAATTTCCAAGAAATGCATGGCCACACTAACGAAGCGTAAACGATGTGTTTAGCAGCTGTGCAGAGCTGTACATTACATGTCACTGTTTTCGTCACAATTATTGGCCGTAAATGCATTGCGGCCACGAGACAAGAAACAAAACCGAGTCCAGTCTCAACAAGAGACAAATCGCTTCTGCCTCTGCTTCAAAAGCCGCCATAGTTGTATATTTATTGGATATCCCTTAAGACTTGTAATAAGCGAGATAACTACTCGTACTCGTTTCTTTCATTCGATATTGCCTATTTCAAGTGTATGACCCACTTTATATGAGAAACATGAATTCGGGTAAAATCCTATTATCTAAGTCGAGTTATCTGTTGAATAGGAAACACTTATAGTATATCATATAAGTAGCCAATCTACTCGTTTTCTTTAATAAATATTGTCCATTCTACGTGTAAGTCATATCTGAATTGATTTGCAATCGACATTTTTAAAATAACCTATCGGATAGGAAACTCTTATTACAATTGCTTACTGATACGCATGTTTAATTGTATATCCTAACACGTTTCAAAAGCCATTATATATATACTTGTGTCTTCACTCAATAATGTCAATTTCAGTAACATTGTCTATATCACGCGTGTTACCTGGTTAATAAGTAGTTTACTATGAATCAAGAAAAAATTCTATTTTATAGGTAAGTTACCTTTTGGGTGGGAATCGTTGATTAAAAATACCTAATGGGCTCTACTACGCGACAGCTTTAACGGCTCAGCCAATTAAATTTTTTGTCTATTTCACGTCATATGTACATTGTGTATGAAACATAGGAATTAAAGTAAACCCTGCTTTATGAGTAAGTTACCTACTACTGGCAGAGCAAACGCTAACTTCAAATGTATACCGAGCTATTACGCCTAATTAATTCAGTGTAACGTCCTCAAATTTAATTGTCACAATTTTTGGCGACCTCTTCGATCAATTTTTTTCTGCTTCGTTCGCATGACCTTCTTAAGAAGGGAGTAATTTCTGAATTAAACTGAAACATTTTAAAAGTAACCTATTTTGCTTATGAAGGAATATAACTTTTTCACGTTCGTTAGTCAAATGTTCAGTTGTCCTTACAAAATGAAAAAACTCCTGATCTAACGATCATATACAAAACGTAGGCTAAGGATATAGCCTGATGTCTCAGCGATCCTCAGCCAAGCCTTACCTCTATTAACAATTTAATCCCAATCAAGCATTTGCTATAAACCTCTTTCGATTGTACTATGCTTTGTTTTCTCAATGCAGGTCATGTGACAGTAGGTGCGGTCACACTAGACGTCATGTGAGACGTCTTCTCTAAGGTTTCAAATGGGAAAACGATTGGGTTGGGTTCACTCTGGGTTTTGATCGTTTTCATGTTTGCAGTTACACAGCGATAAATTCGCCAAGGGGGAAGAAAAAACTTGAACCTGGTATCGCAGGAAAACGTCATTGTAAACAAAGGCAAATTGTCGCTCACGAATCAAAAGTACGGGTTTAATTTACAAAAATAGTTCCAACGACTTCATAAGGAAAGAATTCTTGAACATTGATGTAAAGAATACTTTAGAGTGTTTCGAGGTGCTTTTGAATTTAGTAAACGTAAAAACATTCACAGCAGCGCTCAAAATCCTGCTGAGTTTTCGAACTTCGAGTAGGATTTGGCACCAACAACTCAGCACGTGAACAACACGTGCTTCTACTATTTGGTGCACTTCACTTTTTCATGATTGGTTGAGCCGCATTGTTTTTTATTTTAACCATAGAACTTAACTCGGGAACGGTCATGGGAAATTCTTTGACCGCACCCAATAATCCACAAGACTTATTCTTTAAAAACTCTTCTTATTCAGGTGCATATGTACGCAAATTTTATGAAAAGACAAAGGGCCAAATTCATTGGGAAAACAAAACATACCAGTTAACGGAATCCATTTCCCACGACGGTAAATGAGAAATATATATGGCTTTTGGGCTCCATTACTAAAACGTTACGGAGAATAGAAGACCTCGCTTTCTCTTTCATCTATCACGTGAAAAAGCCACCCTTCGCTGAGTGTAATATAAGAAAAGAACATCGCTTTTAAAAAATAAATTAAAAGCAAATAAGTTGTAAACCTGTTTTCAACCTGACTAATTTGTTTTCTAGCAACACTTGGGTAAACTACGTTGTCACGATAAACGATTACACACGAATTCGCGCACAAAAGATTTCTAGCGATTCAACTCTATCAACTGCGAGAGTTTTCACAAAATTCTGACAAAATTCTTGATGGACGTTACACAGATCTTGACAGTTTATCGATTATCCTCTACATGGTTGGTCTCGCTTCAGGATCTGTCTGCAGACATCGCCGCACCAGGCCTCTCAACACATGGTTCGTCATGAGCAGAACTTGCTGTTCACGCCTTCTAGGATCTGGAAGTTCCCGGACGCACATTTCACAAAGAAGAACACCAAAGCTATAAACATCAACCTATGAACGATACACATATTTTTAATTTTTAATTTTTAATTTTTTTTTTACTGACCTCGCAAGTGGTTTCGAAACAATTGAAACTTCCTGAAAGCTCAGGCTCATCAGTTGTGGACAGTTCTCGGTCTCACTTACTTCTTAGTTGTACCGTTGAAGGTTTCCTAATAAACAACTCAATATAAACTTTACGTTGACAAAGAGCAGGATTAGTGTGTCACGTAAGTCTTCTTGTCACGCGGTGCGGAGATGATGACACGAAGAAAAATGTTCGCCCGGCAACGCAGTTTTGATTGGAGTAGAGCTGATGGCGCAAAAATCTTGAGTTTACCTGTCGACTGTATTACTCCTCAGATCAGACTCTAAATAAAATTTCGGCATGAATATGTAAGCTGCTACAATTGGACCTGATCGTTTGGATTTTTGATTGATGTATAACAAGTGCGCTGTGAGATGTAATGGCAACTGATTTGTTAGGCAAACTGCCATTTTAACGCGCCACGCTTGAACTGGCTTGACTGTAAGTATTATAGTCTGATTGTGATCTTATTAAGCTGTAGGCTGTAGGATATGCTTTACACAGATATTGTAAACTTCCTTACCCACCCCCCCCCCTCCATGGTGTCACTTTACACCCTACCACCCCTTAAAGGCCACTTTCCCACGCAGTGACGTTACTCTCTCCTAAAGGCGGTCGTTTTGGAAAGGTTTGACTCTATTAGATTTATATGAGAAGTCTCCAGTACGATTTTAAAACTGAACAATTAATGAGAAAACCACACGTCTACAGCTTGTTTTCGTTGCGTACAGTGTAAACCCCTGAAAAACGATCAATTGTCGAGATTACCCATGAATGTTTGAGGTCAAACGATGAAGGTAAAAACTATCACCGTTACCACTGTTTGGCCGGGAATTAAGCAGCAAGGAATGAGCACAGAACGTTAGTCTGGCTCACACAAAGCTAAACAGACCAGCATCAATTTGCTGCTTCCAATTTTACACCAAGGTGAAGAAGGACATAGTGTAGTAGGGAAGCATGTCCCCGGACTTCCCTAGAAACTTGCGCTATCGGCGTTCGCCGTTAGAAAATCGGTCAGCATTTATCCTAGATCAGCGCCTGTACCTTACATCTTTACCCTCGTTATAATTTTAATACTTAAAGGTTTTGAAAGACGACGTCACGCACAGGGACGCCGTTTTCTTTCAAGTCATTTCACAATGTGTAGCAGCAAGTTTATCATTTAAGCACTCTGGAAATCTTCAAAAAAAGCTAAAATAAAAGGCTGACAGAATGATCTCTCGGTATGTATACTGTACATGTATACTAAACACAAAACCACGTGGGAATGCAAAAATATCCCCGGTACGCAGTTTAGTAGATATTTGTTTTCTGCACGTTCTTATATGGTTAATTACGTGTATTATCTTGTCTGTTTGTGTTTCGGTATTTTTGGTGTTAAGTATTTTGCATACAGTTATATAAGTGTCTTGTTCATTCGTATTCGTCCTTCGGGTCTGTGAACGCCTAACAACCCACAGTTTGATTTCATTTTATTGTTTTCAATTTCTCAGCTTAACGTAAAAATTGTTTGTTTTGCTTTTTAGCGATTAGAATTCGGCTTTTTCTCACGTCTGTTTCTTCATTTCAAGGATAAATCCTCGCCGTGGCTGGCTACAATAGATGAAGAATAGCATTCATTTGTCAATCTTCAGATGAGTGTGATTTGAATTAATTTAGTCTTTCCGAAGAATTTTTCCTGGGGATATTTGTTCGGGAGTTATTTAGGGTCGCTTTAAGTCCTCCCATAGGCTTTGTGAGTCCCGCCTAAAGGCACCGCAGTTCACTGTTGCTACCATTGCCCATTTCCGAATTTTTAGCTAATGGCTGTATCATCGAGCATGGTGAGCCTCCATTTTGACGGTTGAAGTCGTCATCGATCATATGCAGTCACGTTAACTGCTACCTCGTTCGATTAAGTTTAAGTACGAGAATTTTCGCACCTTATCACAGGTTCGTAAGAGGGGCACCAGGGCTATGAATGAGACCTATAATCTGGATTGACATTTCCTTAGATCACCAGAAGTAACGAGGTTTTTCTTGGCCCTTCAAAGGTGTGCTCTGGTATTTCGCTTTCTCGATTTTAGTCTTTGGTCTAGTTAAGCGCTTGTTTTTGTTTTTCTAGCTTTCTATGGGTCTGAAGTCTTTTGTTTATCTCGATGACGCATTTGGTAGTCATCTAAAGAGGACTTCCACCGCCCGGTAGCTTTTATTGAGCGCAAGGGGCTTATTCTTCTGGTTTCCTTATTGGTAAGGAGAAATCCCAACAGGTCCCAATACAAGTGGGCGAGTGGCTCGGGTTTGCGGTCTGCACTATGTGATTTACTTTTCAGATTCCTGAGAAGCAAGTTTTCAGCTAGTGAAGCGGCTTTGGCCGAATTCTGCAATTCAAAATGAGTCATCTCTCTATCGCAAATCAGCTGGATGGCTGGTTCCATTATTTCAGTTGCCTTAGCGGTGGGGCCCATTTCCCTCTTCATACAAGCCAGACGTAGGTGGCTAAGGAGTCTTAATCGGCTTAGGGTCTCCCTTTTCGCTTCACTCCCCCTCGGCTGGAGGAATTGAAGTTTTCGTTTTTGTGACATTGACTCTTTAAACAGTAACTCCATTCGGCACCCCTGCCTGATTCTTCCGCAGTTGTATTTCCGGACGCAAGCGTCGCTTCATTTCGCGGCTTTTCCGCCCTGTGGCTAGCGTTATGTTCACGATCGATTATTTGGGTCAAAGAAGGCTGATTTGTTTGCGCCGTTTCATTAAAGAGGATGATTCGCCAACTAATCCCTCTGTGTTTCGAGTCACTGAAGCAAAATGGGGTCCTCGCACGAATCTTGACCGTTTCACATCCTATTATAGAGCGCTCAGCTTCCGCGTTTTGACTCCTAGTTTGCTTCTCCTGGTTGTAGGTGTGTCCGATGCCTTTGTATTTCCAGTGGGTCTCGTAGTGGTCGCCTGATTTGAGCCTGATTTGGTATATTTGGGTGCCCGGTTTGGCATATTTGTACGGCATGTGAGCCTGATTTGGCTTAGTTTTTAGCCTGATTTGGCATAATCTTGAGCCTGGTTTGGCATATCTGCTTTAGCTTATTTTTGAGCTTGGTTCGGCATGTTTCAAGTCATTTTTGTGTCGGCTCGTTTTGGGCCTGAAATATAATTTTTTCAATTCTTCTTTGCCCGAATTTTGCTCAGCGTCTCCCTTGTTCAATGTTTTTTTTGTTCAGTTAAGTAAATAGCGCTGTAGTTGTTTTATTTTTACGCTATTTCCTTTTATTTCAGTTGCCCTAAATTCCAGGTTATGGCTTGAAACAGCCCCCTTGACTGATTCTTCGCTGAGGGATACAGTTCCTGGCCTGTCTGGTTTGCAGTTGGATGCTAACGCTCCATCCACAGTCTTGAAGTTACGGGTCTGGCTTATTGTGGTGGCGTGAGTGGGCTTTATCGAAGACTGGTGTTTCTGCTATTCGAAAAACCTTTGCATGTCTCATTGTATCTATCTAAGTTAGCTTAGCGTTCTGAGGATAACAATGGCGCATCTTATTTAGAATCTGCTGTTTACAGTATAAATTGGGGCCATGCAGTGGTTGGTATTTAAGTTTGTTCTGTTAGCCACGCCTTGCTTAAGTTTCCCTTTAAATTAGAGGACGCCAAAAGAAGCTAGGCTTGCGCGCCCAGTTTAGCCTAAGTAGCTGCTTTCTGTTAGTTTTGTCAAGCGATTGCTGCAGATTTTGCCTCTAAATCGCGATGTTTTCCATCTAGAATATGTACATGTAATAGTTTTATGTCGATTTATGTGTCCGTGCAGGCGCAAAGTAGATCTTTATGGAACTCTGAGGCCTTGTCCAGTAACCGTGACCCAGTGTTTTATTAAGTTCTCTCCTCAGTCCTCCTCTGTGTTTCCATTAGTTCGAAGAATTGTCCAAGCTCAATCTTAGTACGATATATTATACTTTCATTCTAGTGCAAGTGTTTCTTTATTCACGTTATTTAGGAGACGAATTTTAGAGGCATATTAAGCCATTAGTTAGTGATGTTTCTTAGTACGGCACCCACAAGTGAGCGCGAGTCTGACGCGGCGCCCAATCCAGCTTGTAGGAGAATAGCTGGTGATTTGTTGGATATCCATGCCGGTTGGAGGTGCGAGTCCACTAAGCATAGGTATTTTCGGCATGGTCTTAACTAGCTCTCCGTATCTAGTCACTTTCAGTTCAGGTGTATTTCATAAAGATATAAATATGTTTCAGTATAATTCCCACAATTTGCGTGTAATTCTTAGCGCTTGGCCTTATCTAAGACATTTTCAGTCCATGTGAATTCAAGTTTTAGTATATTTTCCAGTATACACGTGTAATGGTTAGAAGTTCTGCTTTTGTTTGTTGCAGTTCTAAGTAATTTGTTTAGAGTCCTGGCGGGCGACGTAAGTTGCGCCTGGCCCGCCCCAGATTTCCTGTGCTTTTTTCCCTACGGGGTTTTTTGGGACAGGTTTTTTCTGGCCACCCTGGCACACTTACATGTAGATTTTCGTTTTATTTCATTTGCTGTAGTGTTTAATTTTTTGGGTATAATGATTAAAGTGGGTTATGGCGTTGCACCCAGGCCATATCCAATATTCTCCATGATTTGTTGCCTATGTTGTTTCTTGTTTTTCTACTAACTTCTAGAAAGTGCAGAGGTGCTTTGTACGGTATTTAAGCACCAGTTCGTTTTTGCATCTCTCTGAAACGTGAACAACTCGTGCGTAAATCCCCCCCGGAGAGGGGGGGGCGTAAATACCGTACGCGCGTACTTTCCCTGTAGCATTATACGTGTATATTTCTTTTAGTTAATCTAGTTTGAAGCCTTGTGCGGGCTAGTACTCTTTTGCAAGAGATGTTTCCTTTTTTCTTTTACCGGCTCCCAGCATTTTATAACTCGGTAGAATCTCAATCAAACTTCAACTTACAGGTAAGTCTTGTTTAATTTTGCGATGGATCTAGGCAAGCGCTATTAAGCGTTTCAACATTCTGGGCAAGCGTGAGATACGCCATTAGAAACAACGAAATGAATTAAGGGATAAAAAATACAATCACGTCGCTCTTCCCAGATCCATCTCGCACTGGTCGATAAATTACCCACAGAACATGTATAGCGAAAAAGTCTAAAAAAAAAGCAGAAAAATGGAAATGGGCTTTGAGAAAGTCTAACTAATGTTTGACTCTAAGCTTTCATTTTATAGTATTAAATATGATCTGATTTGTCGACTCCAAATCACTAGAATTGGGGCCAGCACGATATCATGCTCTTTTTAAGTAGATAAATGTTGTTCTTGAAGTCTACCCCTCTTGACACGGTTAACAGCGCGTTTTGACGCGAGGATTGCCGGTTGACCAAATTCATAAGCGTTAATATTTATAAAATTTAGTCTGGATATTTCACTCATCAATGTTAAATATTAATTAAGCTCAGCTATTCATACATATGTACGGGTTTAACCATATGCTTCTCAATTCAAAAAACCAAAATAATTACTGTCGTGATAAGCTTGAGCTACCTGTTTCTGAACTTACGCATATACAGTAAGTTTAATCTTATTCCTCTTTTTATCAAAAACCATATTTCACACTCTTACCTTTGATAGTGGCAGGAATCTTGTCAATAAAAAGCTGAAGCTCATTTGGATCAGCATCTTTTAGTTGAACAGTTTGTCCTTTTTTAAAAGGCCGCAATCCCATTAGTTCACTAATAGTAACTGTATCCTTGGTGACCTTCATTGTAGTTTCAGGCAGAATGTGAAACTGAAACGGTAAGGAAAGATAATGATATAATTTAAGTTACATTGACTATAGTGGCAGTAGTTTCTGTAAAATAACAACTAAACACAACTATTCACAGCCCATTTCACTGAGATCTCACTTGCTACAGGATAAACAGTTACGCCCTCAGTTACAGCAAAATGAGTTCAATATGTTCTGCTCAAAATCATTTGTCAAGACCGCTCATATTTATATTTTCGTTCTATTTTTTTTCACCACAACTTTAATATCTTTCTTTTTCTAGATTGGTAAATTTTCAGTCCTCAACTTAATGTACGGACCAAAGATAAAACAAAAAGATCTATCCTTTCCCTCATCATCTTTTTTGACCCATAAGGTACCAAAATGTAGTTCAGTTGTAATCTTTCAGTATTAAAATTAACCACGATCCTTGTTTTGCCCCATAATTTATGGCCCGCCGCCTTACACCCATTTCTCTGTACTACTTTTCCTAGCTCTAGGTTCAGAATCTCACATTTTTTGCCTTTTGGGGGTTCGCAAGTCTGTAAGAGACCACTAAACACCCTACACAGTGTATGCTTGGAACTAGTATGGCACATCTTGTCAAAGGGACAGTTTAATAGAGGTAAAGACAATAACAGATTACTCATTGGTATCTCGAAAACGGGTGACCACGGCTGCTTAATAGAGGTAGCTGCTAAATACAGGTCAGTTTTTACAATAATTAAGGGAAGCTATTTCCAGGACTTTAATTGGTGACCGCTTATAGAGGTCCCCTTAATACAGGTTTGACTGTAGAGGCAGTTACAGTAAACATCCGCTAATAAGAACCTGTGGTTAAGAATCTCCTGGCAGAAATCTGCACTTTAATACCTAAGAATACAAGAACATGTTTAGGCAAGCTAAATCAAGCAGGTTCTTATATGTGGTTAATTTTTACGGTTAAATTATGATAAACAATTTAACAAAGGAGCATAACTTTGAGTTGTAAATTAAGTACAATAAAAACATACTGTACTAAATTGTATGATATTCGGTAATAAGTTTTGTTAGGGTGATCATAATTGTGAATAAACAGAAAATTTATTTATTTTCTCATTATCAACAATCTATTATGTTCTTCACAAAAATTACATGTAAGAACCTAATTAAGAACCTACCTAGCCTAAATTGCCAATAAGTACCCCACGAACAAGAACCTACTTCAAAAAATGGGACCTTCTTATCAGCGGGCGTTTCCGGTACTATAAAAATAATAACAACTGAAAACAACCATATTCACACCCCATTTAACCATAGCCTGCCAAACGCAGACGCATTTCCGGTCGTCGCTTCGCTCCCTCTCCGAAAAACAGGACATACATATGCGTTTCACAGGCTAATTTAACCAAGACACCATCAGCTACAGCAAAATTTGTGCAATATGTTTAGCTCAAAATCATTTGTCAAAACCGTAGCCTTGCAGCTCTTTAAAAACTCTAATTTTCTTGGATTCCTCTATGTCGCAACTCTTTTGTTTCGGGCTAGGTTCCATTGTTACTTTGTTTGTTCATTGTTTTCCCAGCCAATCCTTATGAGGTTGCCCAGTATACACTAGACCATGTGGTCCCTGGCTTGTCCCCAGACCTTTAGGAAGAGGGCAACACCACATCTCCCTTAATTCCCTACCATGAGCAAGACAGGCAACATCTTCTCTCCCCGACATTAGATGAATAACAGAAAAATTATAATTTGAACAAAGAAGGGTAATAAGTGGTAAAAAAATATATATATATATTCAAGACACACAAAAAACTCATTATCGGACTGACTTAATAATACCTGAAGAATAACTTTATAACGTAGGGTAAATTTCACTTGACAATAGCGGCCATTGTCGCATCATTTCAGGTTTCATGCAATACTATTTGGTGTGACTTTTAACTTGTACAGTGTACAAGAAATGGAGCATAAAAAAGTCTCACAGTGCAAAGCACAGAAAGTTATTAAGGGAACTTTGAAAACAAAAAAATTAACTTGAAGCAATAAATAAACTAACATAATAAAACCTCTATTCAGGGGACACCCTCAGGACCAAAGCAAGTGTCCCTTGAATAGAGGTTCCCCCTGATTAGAGATTGGGCTGGGTTTTGTTAATAATTAACAAACAAAGACAGCATAAAGGAATCATCATTAGAAACTTAAAGATGCCACAACGGCGACGACAAAGAGAACGCCAAAAAGGCAATAGGTTGAAATGAATAGGCAAAGCAACAACTCTGCACATGCATCACGCTTGTTTGTACATTGTTTTAGGCATCACTGCACGACCAGGAAAAGAAAATGCCAAATTTCACATTTTATGGAGGAAGTAAACAAGCGGTGGCGAAATTTTCTTTCTCCCCATCAGGGGCGTAGCTAGGGGGTGGTCATGGGGTGCCCGTGACCCCCCCCCCCCTTTGTGAGATAAATCGTTTCCAGTCACTGCAAACGGAGTAAGTAACAATCTAGCAACCATGTTCCTTTTCATACATGTAACTGAAATAGAGCAATTTATGCTACGTGGAACGTAATTAATCTATGCAGCTAGTTTGTAGGCTTGTTCCTCCACCCACACTCACTGCTCATCGGAAAAAAAAATGTTATGTTTAGTAAAACACGGCCTGGATGTCAACATGCCAATCTGGTAAGCACCCCGGGTTTGACATAGTGTGAGCCCCCCCCACCCCCTGAAAAATCCTAGCTACGCCCCCGTTCCTGAACTTGACTATGATTCTTAGGAATTTGGCTGAAAAAGACTTCGCTTACATGTGACAAAGTAAATGGTTGGAGTAATCACGATAGAGACTGAAAGAATGGAAATTCACTTTTTAAGCGACGCTTTTGTGGCCATCACCGTCGTGGTATCTTAAACTCGCTATTATTTTATTTTTATTTTCTTTTTTAACTTAATTTAATTTAATTCTTTTTAATCGGTAACACCTGTACAGAAATGGTAATACTGAATAAAACCTGTTTATGTTATTGCTTAACAGGAGAGATTTCGAAAAAGTTAAACGCTAAAAGATTTTTAAAATACATTTAAAAAACATTTAAAAAAGTGAACGACGCTTCGGCGATACGTTACGCCATTATCAAGTTGAAAAGTGAAAAAGTATAAGGTGTAAAACGAATAGATAAGATTTGAAACAATACATAAAATATTTGCGGGTCCAATGGGTATAATTCCCAGGGTAAGAAACACAATAAGAGGAAAAAAAATGTACGAAAGAGTCACGTAAATAGTTCGGCGCGAATGGAGTCGACTTGCGTGTTAAGAGAAGGCTTCATGTCTTTTACGTATAACATCTCGTAGACTAAGCAATCAAACTTGCTGTTACATTTCCTCAGAACTTTGAAAAGATAGTCAGTCTTTGTTCTGTTGTTGCCATGCTGTGTTTCAAGGTGTTTCCCGATGGCTGAATAACGGTGTTCACTTATGCGTTGATGTAAGTGTCGGACAGTGTACCCGACATAATTTGCATCGCACAAATCACATTGAAATAAGTATACAATGCATTGAGTGTTGACGATTGGGGGCTTGCTTTCCTTGACACTCAGGGTTTGTGACAGTTTTCTGCTTGTAAAGACGGGTTTTACGTTAACATCGATCTTGGCTTCCAGAGAATAGATATCTTTGCGTACGCGATCAGCTGATCGCTGATCTTTAAAGGGCAATATTATGTAAACAGATGGGTCTACTGAAGGCATGGTGTGTATTTGTTTATCTGGTTCCTGGCTGAACTTATTTATAGTGGAATCGACCAAAGTTTTCGGATAGAGCAGCTTTGAAAACATGGTGCGTAACTTTTTTTTTTTCTTTCTCGTATTGTGTTTCTTACCTTGGGAATTATACCCATTCGACCCGCAAATATTTTATGTATTGTTTCAAATATTATATATTCGTTTTACACCTTATACTTTCAGCTGTACTTTTTCACTTTTTAACTTGATAATGGCGTAACGTAGCGCCAAAACGTCGTTCACTTTTTAAAATGTTTTTTAAATGTATTTTAAAAATCTTTTAGCGTTTAACTTTTTGATCAGATGTTATTGCTATTATGATAATTATATGTTGAATTCACACAAGTGCATTTCATTGATTTATGTGAGAGAGTCCAGTTTGGGAAAGCTTCCATTTTTGATTAGTGTGCACTTAAAGACATCAGCTCTCTTTGAGGTCAGTCACTTTTTGAGTGCTGAGGTGTCTCCTAAAATAATGGTCATGGTTAAAATAAACCCAGGGTTCCGGACCTAGAAAAAATGTCCCTTTCCTCTGAATAGAGGTCACTCGTCCCTTGAATTGAGGTAATAGATACAAATATTATGTGCACATCTTCCGGGACCAAATTTTGTGTCCCCTGAATGGAGGTGTCCCAAAAAGGGGACGATCAATTACACTTTTTGCTCAATTAAACCAACATGGATGAGGTTGTTAGCATATATATACCGCATGGGGTAATGGCTCAACAAAATTTTGATTCTTTTTTCAAGTGTAATATACAATTTATTAAAACCTACAAAATTTTCTTAAGTGTTAAATTAATATCAGTGCAGTGAACACACTTGGGCAGTGGAACTTTGAGACTTAAAGAGATATCTTTTTTTTGACAGGAAGCTAACTGTCCTTGTGAACATGACTTGTGGTTGGCTGACTGTTATTAGTGCTTTGGTCGAGTTCATTGCACTTTACAACAATACTGTACTACGGCTGTACTGTAAACCAGCTATCCTGCGCCATAGACACTTTAAACCGTCTTTAAACCAACTATATCTATACTGTACACAATACGTGGGCCGTCTGCACTGCAGGCTATAAACAAGCCAGATGATATAAAAAGCAGCATTATCTGTCAGCTCTAGTTCACCACTTCTCCTAGCTACTTACAATAAACGCACTAATATGATCAAAGAAAGTCCTTTGGAATTTCTTCTGACTCTATTAAAACCTTTACATGAAACAACATGCTCTATAAGTATGTTTAAACAATAAACCGCTTTCTTTTGAAAAATAAACTTAAAGTCAAAATATATTATATTACATGTTATATCCCAAAAGGTCTCACCCAACCCAGTACTAATCCCGCCTGACACAGCTTTACTTCACCGAACAAACAGGGCAAGGGGACTGTGAGAATGTTATGAACCAAGCCCAAAATTAAATACCCATGAATGATATAGCAAAAATATAACATAGGCTGCTGACTTTGGGAACCTCAATATAAAATAATATTATTATTTCAGATCCCAATAACTAAAAGAGTTAATTTTCATACTGGTACTGTATAAGTCATACAGTGGCTTAGAAAGAGATAATAGCAAGCCAAGAAGAGAAAGTTTCTTAAACTACTTTTGAACTAGCAGTACATACATGCAGTTTGTTTTTGTAACTGCTATTTCAATTTCAACCTCAGAAACCCAAAGAAAGTTTACACAGTATCAGCACCACAGGAAGAAAAACAATAAAAAAAAATCTTACATCCTGTGGACCAGCCTTTGGCAGATTTAGATCTGGAAAAGCAACATACTTAGGTAATTCAACGAAGAGGAGGAGCAAGAAATAAATTATTAGAAAAAGGGATGAAAACACCATCATCACTTGTTGCTCATTTGCCAGCTATATAGAAACGTTTTATTGTTCTGAGTATTCAGATAAAAATAATACCAAGTAATTTCAAGGAAGAAAGGCCCCCTTTGGCCCACCCCTAAATCCGCCCTTACTGTTGCTTAATGTCACAGCTCCTTTGTTACTGAGAAGAAGCTGACAAGTGCCTCAATCACGGTGAGATGAAAATTAAACTCATTGCATAATCCATAAGGTTAAGTCACAACAATTATTTAAAAACATCTATAAAACAAACTTGAATGTTAAATGTGTCTGCTACTCAGCTTTTGAAACATCTTGTATAAACATCATCCATAAGGTTAAGTCACACCAATGATTTAAAAACATCTATTAAACAAACTTGAATGTTTTAATGCATGTGTCTGCTACGTTATACTCAGCTTTTGAAACATCATCTACAATTCTTTCTATTATAACTTTCTAAACTTGTTGTAAATCTTTATACCATTTTTAATTGATCTATTAAAATTTGTTACTATTATTATCTATTAATTGATCTATTAATTGATTATTTAATTGACAAGAATAGACTTTTATGGATGGATTATGTACGCTGTGTAGCCTCCTAAATGCAGATTCCTGACTCAATTTAAATGGCAAAAAAAGAAAAGAACAAAATACTTTCAGCAATATGTTTAAGATGCAATAATGATTCAAGCTGAAAATAATAAAATAGGCCTCACTGAGTTTTCAAATAACAAAATATTCATGATTTTTCATGTCTTAATTCATTCAATGATGAAAGTTTCATTGCACTTACATTGTGTCTGTAAACAGCACCTCTTAACAAATCAGGAACATTTTTCGTAATAACCAGTAGTTTCACTATATATTATACACAACTTTGTACATTTTGGATTTTTCCATTTGTCATGACACTGTGCCCCTTCAGATCAAAATAGACAGCTGTAGCAAGAACAACTGCAACAGCAACAAAGACATCAAAAAAGCATTATTTTATGCATTTATACTACTCCTAGGCAAAACAAGAAGTCTGCACATACAGCACACTTTTTTGTACACTTTTTTGACATCACTGCATAAAAGCCGCATAAAATTACCTCTGTCAGCAGACATTTTATGGAGGACATAAACACACCACAAATGGATTTCTCTTTTTCCTACTAAACTACAGGCGAACCTCTCAATACGGACACCTCTCTAATACGGACACCTACATTACGGACAGTTTCCAATGTCTCGACAAAATTCTTATATATTTTCTTTAAACAAAACCTCTATAATACGGACTCTATCTAATACGGACAACGGACACTAAATCTCGGCCCCAGAGAGTAAATTCATATAAACTTAACCTCTTTATTATGGATGCTGTAGTGATCAGCTGAATCCTAAATCCCGATCAGGTGAATTTGCACAGGGTAAATCCCGTCTGGTCTGGCTGAGAAGCTATGCAAGGTGACTTCAAAAGCCCAGTGACTGTATACCAAACATATTGCAAAAGGTGTGCGGAGGACATAACCGACTTTTTGAAGGCTACAGATAGCATGAAGATCTTTTCTATTATGTAGATTAATTTTTGTACTCTGGTCACTGTTTACTGCATTTGCAAAACAGCGAAAGGCACTTTCAGAATTGTGCTTTACGTTACAACTTTTTACATGCAGCATTGCGCTGTAGCTCATTTTGTGTTAAAACTGTGATTTATCTACGACTGTATGTATGTAGCTGATATGTACAATTTTGTATGCTACTAAAAGACAGTGTCTTTGTACTGTGAATTAATAAACTTAAATGCAGTTTAAAGACGAGTGTAAGCCAGGTTTTAGCTACTGAACACTTAAAACTGTAAGTAGAGTCACAAAAGTGATGTCATCGTAGTGACCTCTTTTATATGGACACCTCTCTAATTCGGACACTTCACTCTGTCCCTTCAGTGTCCGTATTAGAGAGGTTCGACAGTCACTGTAACGGGTTTGATTCCAAGAAATCAATTTCAAGAAACTTAACCTACTTTCTGATATTTAACCTCAATAAAGCAACTGAGTTGAAATAACATTGCAAAAAAAGTTTTAAAAATGCGAGGACTTCTTAATACTACATATTATATACTACTTTTACTCCAAAAACATATTAAAAACATGGGTTATTTGTTGCCTGACTCACAACTTACAGTTGACTGTGATAATATGAGTAAACTGTAATGTGTAGTTCCAGAAAACATCCATAATACCCCCCCCTCCCCATTGGAGGGCACTTTTACTTTAGACCACCCACACCCCTACAATTTCCGTTCCAAGGGGTGGTTGTCATACACCCCATGCCACAGAATTTTCTGTTATCTAACTTGGTTGGGACACCCCCAAAAAGAATATTTTTATGAAACATGCTGTTGCACTATACTTTTATGCAGAAGATAATTGTATGTTTTCTGTGATAAAGAGAGGAAAAATCTTTTTATTCATCTTAAAACAGTGTCTAATGTTCTCAGCTTTACCTTGCACATAAAGGCTTTTCCTTGTTAATTATTAACAGTGAGTACAGGTGCATGTCACTGACAACCAAGGAGGCAATACCTTACAAGACACAGTAAAGTGGACAAAACTGTTCTGGATTGACGTTTTATTATACAAAAAATCACAAGCCATAACGACCCTTAATGATATATTTGTCCTTTAAACAACATTTAATTCCACACATGGAATATTAATACACAAGGAGGAATTGTGTTACAGCATATCAAAACTTGGTAAAAAAATCACCAAGGTAAACAAAATCAAATAATTTTTAAGAAAAACAAATCACATGTTTTTTGGTGAAAAAGAAGTGTTGTCACGTTAGAATGTTGTGTCCAAATAAATCTTGCAGCAAAGATAACTTGGATAAAGTCATTGACATGCTGCAGTATAATCTTTTGATACATCAGCAGTTAAGAGAGTCAAAGATTCAAGCTGCGATACATACATATGCTACCACTGCAGGGCCACGAGGCAAATCCACAGAGTTGTTTGAATCAAGCTGCATGTTGTGCAACACAACGTGAGACTAAATGGTAAGCCCCTGAGAGAAAAGCCAAGAAATATGGTCCAGCAACTATTAGAGAGGACCACATAGCAGTGCCAGAAGTTCTTGGCCAACTATGCTTTAACACACAGCAGCATTTCGTGGCTGCTGGCATGGAACGGAGCGTGAGCAACAGGCTGCCATCTTCAAAACAGATGAAAGACCGATCTGGTGGCAAGAAGACTTTTAAGATGACGAAAGTCTGAAGAAAGTGTTATCTTTGAGTGGTCAAATAAGTTGTAGACTGTCCTTAAGTTTTCCTTGTGTTTTCCCGTTGAATGCTTTTTGAAACATCCACAAAAACGTCACAATATTCTTAACACAACAACCTGTCATTTTTTTATTCGTATTTTTTTTTTTTTCTTAGAAACAATGTGATTTTTGCATACCTTTGTGATTTCGTTACTGTGTTTGGATACACTGTAATGCAAGTCCTCCTTGCATGATCAACACGAAAATATTTTCCCATATGTCCAATTTGATAAACTTCAAAAGAGAAAAATATAATTGAGGTTCCTTGGCTTGTTTTATTTTTGTATAATATAACATCAATCCAGAACAGTTTTGCCCAGTGTACTATGAGAGCATCTATGAAAGAACCAGTAAACAGTTAAGAACAAGTTAAAAGAAGGCTAATAGAACATGACCATAACACAGTGAATACCACAATTATATTGTGAAATATAAAGCAATGAGCTGGATGGCCAGCATTATTCATGAGCCGGTATGACATTCATATTAGATACATGTAAACTATATCATACAGGTAAGCTGTGAAAAAAGCATTCAGCTATAACTGTTAATTATGTAAGATCATCAATAAAAACAATAACTCTTGTTTCATTCAAAGTCCCTGGAAAAAAGACCTTGAGAACTGACCCCACTCCCTTGGAAATTGCCTCCTCTTGGACCCCCTTCCCACTGGAATTTCTGATGCCCTCCGTGGGGGGAAGTATAAGCCGCATCCTGGTGTGGAGGGTAACAGTTTCAACTTTCTCATGAACCTATGCAGGTATACATGTAATAGCTACTGGAGTCACTGCAAGTTTTTCTTTAAAATTTTTTAACAGTTTTAATATTGTTGTTAAATGTACATGTATTTTCTGCTGACACTAAACATGACACTAAACATTATAACCTCAGTGAATTGGTAATGATCAAATGTAAACAAAGCACTGGTTTATTCATTAAAAGTTCTTACATGAATCAAGTGAACTCACTCACTTCAATTCCTCATGAACCTATTGTTGTGGTGCATCAAGCTACCATGGTGGCCAATCATTTACACAAAACTGGTAAATGAGGTACAGTAACACCAGCAAATAAGAACCTACTTTTTTTGAAGTCTGGCAAAATAGGTTCTTGTATTTTGAGGTACTTAATGGCAATTTAGGCTATGTAGGTTCTTAATTAGGTTCTTAGTTTTTACGTATGAAGGAGATAGATTGTTGATTTAAAATCACAAAAATAAATTTTAAACTTTTTAAAGTTATTCATAATAATTGTATTATGTCATATAACCCTAACAAAACTGATGACCAAATTTCTTGTTAGTCTCAATTGCAGATTCAGAATCTGTAAGCCATGTTTTGTTCCTTGTATTTAGTCCACATAAGAGAAGACATGGTCCCTGCAGGGTTGAACATAGCGGTGACCATGGAAACTTGGGATATAATGAATTGCGGCATGACTCAGGAGCTCGCCACGAAATGTTTTGTGAAGAAAGCTTAGGAAAAGTTACTGCAAAAGATTTAGAGCTTTTCCGGAATAGGTTGGTCCACGAATTCTATTGCTTAAAAGTGGTGATTACTTTGGAACAAGTGGTCGAGTAAAAGAAGAATCTTAATGAGCACAACTTCGATCAATGGGGCAGATGGTGAGGCTAACTGGTCGGGTGTTGTAAACTTTCATTGTTTCATTTTCAGCAATGACTGAAATGACATGCCATGTTCATCACTTTTTTTGCTCTCTGGCAATGGTGTAATTTCTCTCATACTCGAATCTAGGCCCTTAATTTTTGTGTATTTATGCACATGATTGTATTCAATCAATTCAGAAACAAATTGGTCAAATACCATATATAAAATAAAATATCTTGAAGAATACTTGACTGTCGATAAAGTAGGAAGTCAAAAACTTGTCACAAGAAAATCCTGCTTCATGTAGATGTAATTGCCTCCACATTTCTTGAGCAAGCGAGACTTATGAATATATACTTAAAAAATAACTCATAGGTATCCCCCTTTTTACCACTGATAGTTACCTCCCTTTGTTAAATTGTTCATCATAATTTAAGCTTACATGTAACTTGCAATGATGATCTTCTTAGGTTTAACTTGCTTCACGATATCATGTTTGAATCCCTCAGTCGCAAGGACATATGTGAGCATTTTTGATTGGCTCATTTGTTACACAGTTTAATGTGATTAGCCTGATTTGAAGCATTGATAGGCCAAACACAACTAATTTATATAATATATAGCTTGTGAGAAGGGGGATTGAGCTTTTGATAGTGCAATTAACGTGACCGAAGAGTCAGCTTGAACAACAGTGGTTTTTCTTGCTCTCTTTTTGTGTAGTTTATGCAGTGCATGGAGTATTCTACATTGAGCAAATTTTATTTTACCACTTTGAGTGTCACATTTAGAGGTTGAGGTTGCTGGTCTGTTCCATGCATATTGAGCAGTTAGTTCCTATGGTTTATGTTTCTGCAGATGTTTTCTGACAGGATTTGATTACAATTTATGCAGTTTACCACGAAATGATTTTCTCTTACCTCTGTTTAATACGGTGGCCCACAAGGGACATGTTGCAAATAAAAAAGTTGCTGCAAAACAAATGAAGTTGCTGCAAATAAAAAGTAGTTGCTGCAAATAAAAAATAATTGTAGCAAACAAAAAAATATCTGCTGCAAATAAAAGCAGTTGCTGCAAATTAAGTGACAGGAAATTATGCACACACTGATGGGAAGAGGAGGACTCAGTATAGTTGTATCCAGGGCCCACTCACAAAATGCTTGGCCTAATCCTCAGAGACAGGAACCTTATTTGAGTTCAATAGAAACAATTATCGTCAAACCCATGGAGTTGCATTAGGCATAAAAACAGCAGTGTCCTTTGCAAATATCTACATGGCAGAGACTGAGACAAACCTAATCCAACATAGAAATACCAATGAAAATGTTTCATTGATGACGTTTCCTTTCTTTGGGATTGTAACAGAAAAGAACCAACTTTTTATTAAAGAAACTAACAAATCCCATCCCAAAAATGAAGTCCACGGCCGAAATATGAAATAACGAAATAACTTTCCTTGATACAACAGTTTTCAAAGGAGAACAACTCACAGAGATATCCATCTTCATTGGACATCAAATCCCACTATAAGCCGACTAAAACCTTTCAATATGTACACTTTACCTAGTTCCACCTACGAGGGTAAAAAGAAGTTTCATTAAAGGCGAAGAAATAAGATTGATTAGAAAAAACTCCTCAAAAAAAAAAAACATTTGAAGAGTGCCTTGTGAACTCAAAGCCACACAAAATCCTAAACCGGATATAGAAAGGTCGTTGTCAGGGGTCAACCTTGACTCGAGACAGTGATAGGGGCTAAAACAAAAACCAAAAAAATAAAGAGAGACTATTGCCTTTCGTTACAACATATAACCCAACGGTACAAGACCTTAAAAAGACGTTGATGGCAAACTGGAGTCTACAGGCCTAATAAGAAATCAGCCTCTGCATTGCTGAAAACAGTTTAAGACCTCCGATCATATCCTACAAAAGACATGCTTGAGTGAAAAAATGTAACTTGAAGGCAGTTGATAATTCAACGCAACCACAAAAACCACATTGGGAGTCCTTGCAGGTCTATCTTTAACTTCCTTACAACTATAGTGAGTCCTCCTCTTCCCATCAATGTGTGCCCATACTTTCCTGTCACTTAATTTGCAGCAACTGCTTTTATTTGCAGCAACTATTTTTATTATTTGCTGCAATAATAATTTTTTATTTGCAGCAACTTTATTTAACTTGCAGCAACTTTATTTTATTTGCTGCAACTTTATTTAATTTGCAGCAACTTTATTTTATTTGCAGCAACTTTTTTATTTGCAGCATGTCCCCTGTGGGCCACCGTAGTTTAAGCCTTACGCTTTTTTCTTGTGGCGAAATAACCTTAGTTTCTTTGGTTTCTCTAAAATGCCTGGACCTGGATAGCCACATGTAGTAGGTTTTATTTTTGGCTGTGAAGATAATGATTTCCTGAATTTTTTTTTTTGGATGCTAGAAGTCTAGAACTGTCGGCTAGATTGCAGAATATGCGACAGTGCATCTGCAGTGATTGGAAGATGCTGGAAAACCGGTGGGCAAATTTATACAAGAAAATTCTTATAAAAAAATCACAAGGAATTTTCTCAAAGTATTTTTTTGTGCAGAAGAAGGCTTTAAAGTTTGAACTGCTCTTTTATTATTTTCTGTAAACTGCAAACGATCATTGCCAACTCCCTTCTGTGAATTTTGACATGTCACTGTGCCTTTTAATATTGGCATGCACACGCGAAGAATTAGGCCAATCATGAGGCGCATAACATTAACGTTAACCCGCAAGAAACCTACTTATCACAAACACTCACATATCTCTTTGTGACTCTGCAGGATGTTAGAATGAACTTTTATGCACTTGTTCGCAAATGGACTATACAAATGGTTTAGACGAGTGTGTGGGCTGGCTGCAACATAGGCTGGGCTAAACAGGTTCTTGTATTTTTGCATGGGTATTAAAGTGGCAAATTTCTGCCAGAAGGTTCTTAAGCCACAGGTTCTTATTGGTGGCTGTTTACTGTATTTAAATGTTTAATGAAGAACAAAGCATATAAAATAATAAATGGATACGTTGTAGTTAAGTTTTTATGTCAGGTAATTTTTATTTTTCTTTTGTTTCAACTTTATTAGCATACATTACCATACCCAAAAACAAAAGAAAAACAAAAAATTACATGAGCTCGAAAATTACAACAGATACATTAAGGTGACTGCATAAACACATAAATAAGCTAATTTTTTAAATAAAAAGGGTTTATTAATATAAATAATTGTTAAATTGTACATAGTTAAAATCCTATCACTCCCAGAGTCAATTATGGAAGCACAACATTTAGTTCTTACTCTTGAGCCCCTGGACGAAACCCCTTTATCAGTACTCTCACATGGTAGTATTTGTTTTCAGTATTAGACGAAATGAAATTTCGACTTCTTCGTTAATAGCGTTTTGATTTTGTCAGTGCACTTTTGGAAGTAAAGAGTAAAAACATCAATAACTTTACATACCACCGTCTCATGTCCCGCTGTATTGCTGGCATAAAGGTAGTAAATGTTATCCCTCTCATGATACCAAAGATGAAGCTCTCCTGCCGCATCATTATCCTCACTCACCCATGACACGTTTCCCCGTGCCACACAAATCTGTGTAAAGCCCGACCGACTGAGCACACTGAGCCAGTCGGCCATTTTGTTTATTTAAAGAGCACCTCGTCCCAGGCTCTCATCCTACTGAAAATCGCACCTGCCGCAAGGACTTATGGGCTGCATTTGTGCTTTGAAGTGTTTTTATTTTCTTTCGTTTGTTTTATTTGAGGGTCTCAGTGGGGTTAACCGATAGGCGTAAAACGGCCAAAAATTTAGCCGATACCGTAAAAATTTAAAACATTGAACCGTTAGCCTTAAAAAGCGTAAAAAAGAGTTCACCATAAAATAAAGTGTTCCCTAGATTTGCTACTTTTCAGGAAGGTACTAAACTCACTTATGGTTGCGTTTTTTATTTCCCGGCTAGTGTGACTCCGTACGCACGTTAGGCGAAGTGTCTGTTAGGTGTTAACCAAGACCTAGGCTCCATTTCCGGCGCTTTCTTGGGGAACTAATTTTTTCCATAGCGAAAGTGTGGCTTCTTGCTGGGGATTAATATTTGCAATTTTCAGGAAGCCGTGCCCTCAAAACAGTAGTGAAACAACACGCAGAGCTGTCAGTGTTTGTAAAACACGTTGCCGATAAACAACATTTCCCTGTTTTTCTCGGACGCTAAGGGTAGACATCGCCATGCCTAGTCCCTGTTCGGCGTCTTCCCCCGCAATCTCGGTCAAGGCATTTCAGTGGCGAACTCTTTCGGACAACATGACCCGAAAGGCCATCAGCCGCGCGGAATAATGCAGCCTACGGACAAGGCAACGGCAAGACAGTCGTTCCGTACAGTCCTTCGCTATCATTAGAGGCACTGGACACGGGAATTTTGTTATTGGCCGTTTTCACACTAGACCTGGAAATGGATCATCCGTCTGAGACTAACCTGTGTACAGTCGCGCCCTCCCCACATACCGCCTTCTCCGATTTTTTTCTGAGGGGAGGGGGCGGCTGTACACAGGCTATCTGGAACGGATAATCCTGTCTTCAAAAGTCAGGCGGATTGTTTATTCAAAATTAAAACTATTCCATTGCCAAATTAAGACGTATCACCTATCTGACGCGAATCATCAATCGGATACCCGTCTCACACGAACAATCCTTCTCTAGTGTGAAAACGGCCATTTCTGTTATAATAAATGTTGCGCCCCGGCCTTGAGTTGGGCGTTCGCGTGTCTGCTTTTGCTTTTTCACAAAGATTATTTTTAAATTGACTATTGACATTTCTATGTGTAAAATAATATCAGAAGTGCAATACTTTATAAAAAGTATGATCTATCTAATGTTAAAATTTTTCAAAAGAATAGCTTATTTCATCCCGAGATGATCCGAAGACTTTTATTTTGATTTAAAGATACAAAAAAACACAGGTTAATTAATATTTAACTTTTTGAAAAAAAAGAAGGTAATTTTTAACTTTTTTGTTAACCGTAACTGAAAAAAATTAACCGATACCCGTAGAAGAGCCAAAATATTAGCCGATAACCGTAAAAGCCACCACCCCATTGAGACCCTCTTATTTCCCATGTGGGGGAAAGAAAACTCAGACAAGATCAACAAAATGCACATTCAAGGTGACGTTTTTCATCTTCCTCAAAATGCTTAATGTTTGAAAACGATGCTCTTTGCTCAAGTAAAATTATGCTGACAAATATAGGCAAATAGAGAAATTCTCAGTGTGACTGAACGGAGAGGCAAACACTTAAAAAAAGCGTAAACCCGGCACATAAAAATATCTGACAGGGAATTTTCCCAGCTACGATTTTCTCTTTTCATTTTTTTATAAGTGTGATGTCGCCACCGTGATTACTACTCTCTCTTTAACCTGTCGGACCTGCTTCACTTTTTGAAGATTTTCTCTTTTGTAGTTCGCTCGTTTCGCCTTACCCAGGCGAAAATGGTCTACGGCGCAAGCGAAACGAAAAATACTGCCCAAGTGTAGGTTATGTTCTCGTCCGATGCTTGCTGTTTTAGGAACGGACAGTTAAAACAATTTAATGATGGAGAGGGATGGGAAAAGCAAAAACAGTTTATACGGGCCAAAACGCTTGAAAAAATTCATGCAAACCACAATGAAAACAAAAAGAAAACTCCAGAAAATCCAACCCCTAACCCTTTTATATATCATTTTTGACGAAAAAGGTCCCCTTTCGCATACCTTCTATCAGCTAGTGACAAATGTTGCCTCTTCCACATATAATTGTTTATATTGTTTATAGAACTTTGTATCCCTTTTGACTGCTGTAAATGCACTTTTTTTTTTTACGTAGAATAGCCTGTACACCGACGTTGTTTTATTTTTCTTTTTGTTCCTACTTCCTTGCACTGGTGATCAATAAATCTCCTGCGGTTTACATTTTTTATTACATATTTGCACTAGTCTTTAGACTTCTCGTTTTTGGTATATATATATTAGTTGTTTTTGGCTTGTCAACATTTAACTCAAATCGGACTAATTACAAACTGTGTAAGAAACTAGCTAATGAAAAACACCAACATAGGTAACCCTTTCCGGCGGAGCCTCCCCGCCGTAGGTCAATATAGCAAAACCCCGGGTCTGTTTTTTTTAAAAGATACTATTCTTAAACATTCTCTTTATTTCCAGCTCGGAAGCACAAAATATTGGCGTTCAGTCCTGAACACATTGAGTGATGCCATAAACAACAAGTTTACTCCGCTACTAGACGATGCCCATCCTCTCCCCTGAGTTATTTCGAATCCTTTTCTCTTTGTCTTTAAAACGCACATCTTTCACATACATGCTAAGAAGCTGTTTTACTAAAAGACCGGGAATAAAATATATAAAACATTTCAATAATTGAAGTATTTGTTAGTTTCCCTGAAAGCAGAAATACGTATTATCAAGTGAGAACTGAACGGGACAGTGAGGGTAAGGCCCTGCAGTCAGTTCAGCAGGCCAGCGGCTTTGGAAAAATATGACAATCATTGCACCAAACGTTATTTTAGGACAATTAAACGCTGTTGCTAGAATACATAGAAAATGTTAAATTCCCTTACAGCTATGCCATCTTTCTTTTATGGCTTTTAGGACTCGGACCGCGCTGCCGCTCTATCTAAAGTTCTTTAAAAACAAACGGCCTTTGACAGTTCATAATGGAAAGAAACAACCTCATTGAACAACAAAAGCAAGACTTAACCCATAGAAAATAATCGTAATGAAAACTGTCCTTAACACTGCTATCACTTTGTTCAATCCTCAGAATGCTGGAAATTACGCTTCTGAGAATTTGGTTTTCAATTTTTTGATGAACGGAAGCATGTCCCGAGACTGACCCCCTAAATTACAGGAGACCTGACACCCCCCTCACTACTGCCTTTGTCAACTAGCCAGGCTAATCATGTATTTATTGGATAAAGAAATTATTAACATCCCGGAGGCCTATCATGTAAAATCACATGTATTTCCACATAAAAAGCGCGGTCCTTACAATATGTAACATGCCATCATTAAAAATTTGCATAGGTTATAGCATTATTTGTTGTTGGCATGAATGCCACGAGTGATAATTCAAAATGGTTATACGAGACAATTTTGTGGTATTTATGCCAAATATCACGTACATTATTTGTTCATACTACTACCCACAAACGGCTTGTAATTTTCACATGTAGGTATTTCAAAAAAGCTGAAAATACGTATACCACTGCTCTAGGCCAATCAAATTGCAAAAATTTCTCATGTCGTAGTATAATGGGAAGTAATACAGCAAATGACGTGAACACGTAATTTCAATAACCTTGTCCAAAAAGCAATATTAAAAAATTAATGAAAAGAGAAAGCTAGGAGTAAATTGGAGTATGAATGATTCCCAGTCCTAAACTGAATATAACGTCGAATAAAATGAACAAAGGTTACCAAAATAAGTTTGCTGCCGACATTTGGTGTTTATTCGGAGGTATCATCTTTTGTATTTTGACATTTTTATATATTCTTATTTAAAGATGGATATTACAATTTTCCAGTTTTCACAAAGCCAAGTGACGAAAATATCCAAACCTGAGTCATGCAACTTTTATACACAGAATTCTTTTAATTTTATTCGTTCTCATGTCCGTGTGCTTTTTATCGTTGACGAAGAGAGTTGGATTGACTGCATGCAGAACTAACTAGTGCAACTCCGGTAAAGGTTGGACTATTTGGATACAGTAAGCCGACGTGGAGCGAGGAGAGATAACGGCTGTATTCACAGGCCAGGTTACTAGACTAAACTTGTTCTTGGTACTGAAACTTGGACTAAGGTGCTCAGGCCGAAAGTCAATTCTAAATCAATTCATTTCAAGCCGTAGGCTCGAATCCCGAAACATCGAGTTTGGATTCGAGTTCCAGTTCGAGTTCCAGTTCATTATGAACACATTGTTCAGGTGGTGTGTCCGCTAAATAAAAGACTGTTTTATTACTAATTTTTTCTTGTAACTGTTCAGCACAATTTTATGATATAAATTTTTTAATATATACTGCTGTTGATCCCCGCAGTTTGTTTTTCAGGCTTCAGGGATATGAAAGGGTAGGGATTTCACTTGTTGGACCATACGACAGGGTAGGGAAATCTAATCTTTGGGAAATCTGTCATTTGGGTTTGCGAAAGGGACAAAGGGCTAACAGATGAATTTTATAGCTTTATAAAATCGAAAAAACGTTCATTTTTTGTGATTGATTCCTATTTAAAAGACAGTGCATTTACAGCAGTTAAAAGGGATATAAAGTTCTAAACAAGGTATGTGAGAGGAGTACCATTTTTCAATAGAAGGTATACTAAAGGGGTGCCTTTTCCGTGAAAAATGGTATACAAAAGGGTAAGGGGTTGGACCTTGGGGCGGAGCCTCCCCGTGTAAAAATTCATCGAGTACCCCCCGGGCTAAAAGATGCCTCAAGCGTTAAGTCATGTCTTCACTTACTAATTATTTCACTGATATCGGTATGAATTGTCATATCCGGCTTTGTCACAGGGTCTAGAGGAGATGTGTTTGTCGCTAGAACATCAAAACCCGTCGAAAACCATTGAAAAAATGGGTTATTTTGATCGCGTTACAGTTTCGTCGTTACACATTCTATAGACCGCAAACCAAGAGACCGTGAGGGCTCGTAAGATTGGCACTTCGTGCCTCGGTCGCCCTTCGGGCGACGTGCCGTGCGCCAGCGAGGATATGGCTTGCGATTAGTGATTTTCAAAACGGCGAACAACAAAGTGGATCTCGGTCAGATAAGAAGCGAAGAAATCGTTTACAATAGATTCGCAAAGATCCCACTGGGCTAATTAATCGTGCTAAGCGACAGGTACAGACATTTTTCAAGGTGAGAAAGTAATTCATTTATTCACACGAAACTCCTCAGGACCCTATGACCCAAGCGATCCCTTCGGGATTTTCTGTCTTGACGTCATCCTAATCGTTTTGTACTTGCGGGCGCAAACAATAGAAACGTCATTATTACCTACCGATTCCTCGCGGCCCCTGTTCAAGCAAATAGAGATTTTTTCTGGCATACTGACTGTATATTTCAACTGTAAGTACTTTCCCTAATATATGCGCGAGTTACTAGAGTGCGTCCTCGAGATTTCGCCTTCTGGGCGAAATCTCTGCGGGAGCAATAACGAAGTTTATATTTGATTTAACTTTTGGACTAAGTAACGATTCTCAATAATCGTCAACCGTCAAAAGTTTTTGGTTTTGCGAATGAAGAGATGGCGCAGTGGTGAGAGTGCTCGCCTCCTAGCACCTATCAATGTGGCCCAGGTTCAAATCCCGGCGTCGACGCCATATGTGGGTTGAGTTTGTTGTTGATTCTCTCATTTGCTCTGAGACGTTTTTCTCTGATTACTCCGGTTTCCCCTCTCCTCAAAAACCAACATTTCCAAATTCCAATTCGACTAGGAATCAGGCCAGATGAAGAACCATTTTGTGAATGTGCTACCTCCAAATCATTACTTCTTTCTTTCTTTTTTTCTTTTTTTCTTTATTTTTTCTTTAAATTTGACCATCACTCTTAAAAATTAGTTAAAATTAACCGTCAATCGCCAAAGCTACCACCCCATCGAGACACTCTTGCAATGGATGTCAATGTAATGCAATATATAGGAGGATAAAGAAGTGTTCCATAAACTTAACGCGCGCAGGAAATCATTCTATTTTGTCTTTATGACGTCCTGTTTTTTTATCTTTCCACGTCGCTAAACAAGTTTAGTCGTGTTGCGCTTTGGAAAGAGAAAAGTCATTCTTGACAAAATGAAAACGTTTTTAATCTACCTCCTATAACAATGTTAGGAACTTCGACTGCTTCGGGAAATTTCAGCGAGGAAGGTAAAACTTGTGTTATTTTCGCGTCTGTTCTCTTCGCGTTATTTTCCTCGGTGGCTTATATTAAGCTTGTGGCAAAAGTACAGGGCACGCGCGAAAATCGTTATTTTCCAAGACTAACTTTGCTTTTGCCTTCAAGTTATCAAACTACTGCGCCAACTTTTCATTCGAAAGTGTTAGTGCTCCTTAAATTTGTTTAGGATTGAATTTATCTGCTTGTCGCGAAATTTTCTCTTCTTGGCCTCAACCAGTTGAAACTTAATTGTTATTTGTTTGGATGATTTTGTTTCCTTGGTTACTTGTTTCTAAGGATCGGAAGCGACTCTGGGGCGCGCAATGGAAGTTACTTACGACGTCAAGTTCCGATATTTGTTTCCACAAAGTTTAAAACACTTTTCAAAGCTTTTAAATAGCTTTGTTGTAATCTAGTTGTAGCCGTGGGATTTTAAGGCTCAATTTAAGTATTAGCACACACTTTCACACGGTTTATACCGATCAGCCGCATTTGAGTGGTTGAAATGAATTTAAAATATTTATGCGCTTTTTATTGCCTTCAAATGCAGGAATCAACGACGCTGACGAACCGTTCCATCGACGCTTTACTGTTGTTGAAGGCTTTGGAAGCAAGAGCGCTTTAATCAAAATCCACCTGTCGTCGATTTATATGCTTGTCTCCGTGACAAAACATGTTTGCTTGCTTGCTTATCTCCGTTAACATAATCAGCAGTTTTACAACAGCCTATTTGCCTAGAAAAACGTTTACAAATGAAGTAAATTCATAACAAAGTAAAGAAATGCAATATAAAAACAAAAGCAAACGTTTCCAGTGTTTCACAACGTAAACGACGCCTTTTAAAAAAGTTCCAAGCGACCTTCCGTTTTGATAGAATATTAGCGTTCGTTCCGAGACGGACATCATATTTCGAGGGGAAATGCAAAAGGTAGGCTGTTTTTTAGGCAAATATAAGTCAACGACGGTTTTTCTCTCTTTTCTACAGACGGAAATGGACGAGGAACAAATGGACATAGCTGATGCAAACCAACCACAAGCTGACTCCTCGATTGTGACCAACACGTCATGAAAACATCCAACCGCAGCCAAACAAGAAATCATCCAGCGAGATGCGGTAGGAAACAACTCCACATGGTTAGCATGCGCATAAGCATGGAACAGTCTCTTAAGTGCCGTGAAGTTGGTTTTGAAATGGCTATATATTGGTATCGAGTGGCCAAAGGACACAAAGTCAGACGCATTTGCTAGCAGGTCAGTTACTGCATCGGATTCCACTTGTCCGGCAGACGGCGTAAGTTTGGCTTTAATGTCCACTTTACTATTAATACCGGATAGCTTTTGCGCCGGCACGAAACCCATACCGGATACGGCTTCTGTTTACAAATAAGAAGAGTGATTTCTTTTCGAGGCGATTTCTGTAAAGGAGCAAAACTGCGCCGCGCCGATCCCTAGAGTGGAGAGTGAGTTACATATCGGATAGCGGGGGTGTTCACAGTCTTCACAATAAACCGGACAACTTTTCGTGTCAGCGCAAGGAAATTAAAAGCTGTATTTAATATATATTTTCATTTAAGGAACGTACTTTTACCAAAATAATTCACTACCACTACCACTACTGTTTTAGACAGTAAGCGTTTACAGTTGGGATTGAGCTTGTCTCCTATTGATGATGAATACAAGGCTGAAAATGGCCGATTAATTGCGGCCAAAGGTTAATTACATATAGTTATAAATAAGGTAGCCTGCGTAGCAGGCGCTTGGAAGTAATGGCGCAGGAGAGAAAGAGGCGCGCGAAAGAGACACTTGAGGGGAGATTAAGTGGCATGTTTCCCTCCCGCGCCCCGTTCTTTCTTGAGCCCATTACTTCCAAGCGCCTGCTACTCAGGTTTTAGTTAAGGTGGCTGAACGCAGTTTTGGGAGTTTGTGATCATGCGTATATGTATTTTGCCAAATAATGGCAAAAGAAAGGTTGCAGCTCACAAGCTGAAACATAGCAAGTGAACAATATACTGCTGAAAGATTTTGATTGACAGGTAAAATTTGATTTTTCCGTAGTTTCCATGGCAACCCGGGTGATTAAATACAATTGTAAAATTTCTTTTTTGCTCAGTTTACGTAAAATTTGTTCATTATATTTTCCTATAACCTTGCACACAGCTTACTATAATTAATCATCACCATTTGAAACTTATTTGACCAAATTTTAACAGAAGAGTTTTTAGATAATCAATAATATAATTGCACTGTAATTATTAAATGTGTGACAAAATTCCTCTGTTCACCTCCATTTTGAAGTTCTCGTTATTTAAAATAAGATAAAAGTGAAATATCAGAAAATTTCAATTAGTAGATTTTGAGAAATCGTTTTCTGCGTACCATTGCTTTTTCGCAGCCATGTTTGTTTGTCCAATTTAAAACACGCGCCATCACGCGAGTTACCGCTGACAGCTAACAAAACTGAGTTCAGCCACCTTAGGCTAAAATAGCAAAAATGTAGCCAAACCTTTGAGATTCTAATAGCCTTTCCAGACTTGTTGGACTGGCGTACACTTTTAACATATGTGGGTTGAGTTTATTGTTGATTCCCTGGTTTGCTCTGAGAGGTTTTTATCCAGGTACTCTGGTTTTCTCCTCTCTTCAAAAACCAACATTTCCAAATTTCGATTCGATTATTGGAATTGCTACCTCTAAAACTTTATTTATTTATTTATTTATTTACGTATTTATTTATTTATTAAGGACCTATTCTACTGTATTATACAGTCGATGCCACGTAGGAAGCCCCTGCCCGTCATTCGCAAAGTCAATATCTCTCCGTGTCATGTTATGTGGGAAAATGGTGCCTCGTGCAGCATAGGAGTGGATCCACACAACAAGTCATAGTTGCTGATGTTGTGAAAGAGTGCTGTTGGGTCGCGGTTGGCCATCACGGTTTTGTTGATCTCTTCATATGGTGTCAAAGTCACCACATAATTGCTTATGTAGTACCTGGACATGTTGATGTACCTCATGTATTGATCCTTCTCCTGGGCTGACAACTTGAGGAAATTTTTGCGAGTCAGGGTTTTTTTTTGTGTGCCTAGTCTTTGCCATAGTAGCCAAACTCGCACTTACTGCAGTCACGTCCAGCAAAGTTTGAATTGCATTTGCACGTTTTAAGGTAAAGAGCATGAGGCCAGTTATGGCGCTCGTCGTCTTCCTGCAAAGGTTGGTAATGACTGTACTTGAGGGACCAATCAGGAATGACCAATTCCTGGCGTCTACCTCTGTTTCCATCATTACCGCATGGCGCACTAAAGCCTTTTGGGATTGGACAACATTTCTTGTTTTTCAGACTCGCCAAGGATGTACAAAGTCTAGGGAACTTGCCTTCAGCACAGGTTAAGGTCGATACAATAAAGACAAGACACGTGATGATACGGCAGCTCATATGTACTCGTATCTTTAATTCTAATATTATAAAAAAAAATTTAACAAATATTGTCTACTTCGTGTGTATGGCCTTCTTCAGAAGAAAGTAATATCTGAATAAATGTATGTAAAAATAGAGCCATTTGTTTTTTATTGTTCCAATTAAACAATCATATTGGAAGCAAGCTTAGGATATACACTAACGTCTCAGCGGATTTCTCCAGGACCTAAGTAACTTTTTTTCAACAACGCTACTCAAAAAACAAATTGCTATTAACCACGATGGTAAATAATACCATGTATGACTTTTGGGTATATCATTACTAAAATTTTACAGAGAAGACCTCGCTATTTCTAATATATATAAGTTGTTTGCTTTTAACCTGGGTAATTTTATTTTAGAAACACTTTTGTAAATTACCTTTGTCACGATAAACGATTGGCCACGACTTGACGCACTAAACATTCTTAAAAATTCAACTCTATTAACTACGAAAGTTTTCACAAAATATTTTATAGACGTTGCACAGCTCTGGATAATTCATCGATTATCACCTGCATGGTTGGTTTCGCCCCAGGGTCTGTCTGAAGGCATCGCCGTACCAGGCCTCTTAAGGAGCGGTTCGTCATCAGAAGAACTTGCTGTTCACGCCTTCTAGGATCTGGAAGTTCTCGGACGCATATTTCACAAAGAAGAACACCAAAGCTATAAACATCAACCTATGAACGATACACACATTATTCGTTGTTATTTGCCTTAAAGCATCCATCAATATTCTTTTCACTTTTTAGCAATTATTGGTTTAATGAGAAGAATTACCTCGGAGGCTGTTATCCACCTCGGTTACATTCTCCTCGATCTGCATAGTTCTTTACATCACACTCAAGCCTTATTCAATAATTGTTACAGTGCGACTACTATAACTGGGACCACCTAGACAAAGTAGACCAATCAAATTATAGAAAAATAACAATACATTCCGAGAAAGCTACTTGTCAATCAAAATTACCACGAAACGAAATAAACAACATGAATCGAAACTAACCAATTACAACCCACCGACGTGACCTTTTGAACCCGCTGAAGAAAGCACTTGTTTCCCGAGAGGTCCATTAGAGTGAGTAACGGAGGCAAAAAACGTAAACGATAAATATATTTTTGACTTGAGGTCGCATGTTGTTGCAAAGCACGGAAATAGCCGCGAAGAAATTGCTGGTAGATGACAAAATAACAGTTTGTGTCAAAGATATATGTCTCCTGGGTGTCGTATGCAAAGTTTCGAATGGAAAAACATTGTATGGTCACACATTTTACTTTCCTGAAAAACGTTTGCTATTAATATTTAATTTTGTGCTTCGAGTAACTTGTTTTTTTTTACGAGCTGCTGATTAGCTCACAACCAACTTTCTTGGAATGTAGTGTTATTTTCCCGTAATAAGATTGGTCAACTTTGTCTAAGAGGCCTCGGTTACCGTAGTCGCACTGTAAATATACATTTTGTACTTCCTGTTAGCACCTCCTACAATGTGTAGTGCAGACTAAGGCAACTTTTCTCACCGCACATGTAATAAGAGCGTTTCGGGGACATGCCTGCGTTCTACCAATCTCAGAGTTCTCGGCAATCGGGGACGATTACAATCCTTTGCAGTCTTCTGCCATAAATTTGGAAAGGCCTGATGTGAAGTTGCGCCTGCAGGAGGCGCTTTTCGCACCTCCCAACTTCCCTGGTGCCGGTGACCACATCATCAAACCTAGCTGCATATCTTTGCCAAGGCCGTCGTGGATTCTTCCCATAACTTAGTGTCATAACAATGAACTTAGTTTGCCGTGATGCGACAACAGACATGCAGTGAGGATAAATTACTCTTAACTACCCTCTTTACAAAGCTTGTAAACGCTTGTAAAAGCTGTAAACTGCGCCCCAGTTGAATTAACTCTCTATACCCTACTCATTTTGTTTTGCTAACATCGTTCTTATGGAAATTTGGGTTCGGGATTGTTTTCTGATCGTGGTGCGTATAGATAAGGATGGTCTTTTACAAAGGTGTTGTAAACTTCTCCTCCCACTGCCAAGAAACAAAAATAAATACACAAGGGGGCACTTTACACCCCTCAACCCCCTTATAACAGGCACCTTTCTGAGCGGTGACGTTATCACTTCCTCTCAAAAGAGGTTGTTGTAAAAAGGTTCGACTCTATCAGTTTTAGCTGTCAAAATTTAAATCACAGCACACGACTGCAGCTTAAGTTTGTTTTCGTGGCATAAACTCGTGGAAAATGACCATAATAATCAAGATCATTTTGCTACTTCTTATTGTACACCTAGCTGAAGAAAGATATAGTGGAGTAGGGTTTCTTTCGTGTGAGTAAACGACCAACCAGGCCTTAAAGTCCTAAGCACTCAAGATCAACGCAGTAGCGCCTTTCTTCTAGGTCTAAAAGACGTTGGTTAAACGCCATTGAATTTAAAAGTTCTAAATGCAGTGAAACTAACCTTCACTGTCTGGTTCGATGTAACTACTTCAGGGGCGCTGTAAATCATAGCTCCGGGAACCACCGTCATGGTCTGCTGCATGAAATTAGCAGTGCCTTAATCTGACACTTTGCCTCTCCATTGGTCATCCTGTCACCATAGCAACACATTCGCACTGCTGACATCCCGGTAAATGATGGGTTCTGGTTTCTTCTGGTGAAGATAGTTCAGTGCGCGGGCTACATCCAAAGAAATGGTGCGTATTTCAGTTTCGGAGAGCTTAAGCTGTTCCAACAGAGACCTTAGCCTTTCTTCCATCAACTCCTTAATAAACAGAGCGTTTCCCTTATCGTTGGTGGCGCCGATAAACTGCAGCAAGTGAGGATGGCGGCACTTGGATGCAATATTCATTTCTCTCTCGAAAAGACTTATGTTATGAGGGGAGAGAATCAGATCATGCATTTTTTTCACTGCTACAGTACAGCCACAATACACACCTTCATAAACACTTCCCAAGCCTCCTTTGCCAAGGCATTTGTTGGTCATTTGAATTTCATCGCGGGAAATGACCCAGTCGCATTCTTCCTGTCGTTGTAGGTCATTTATTGTTTGCTGGGCTGACGAAAGACTTAACTCTAGTTCATTAACTTCCTGGTCTTTTTCTCTCACCTGTCTTTCTAAGATGGACACCTGTTGTTGAAAGTTCTCCAGCCGTTGCTGAATTTCCCTCGAAGGCCTTAGTGAGTTTGTACCGCGTTGCTGCATCTCCCTCAACTGCCTTTGTGAGGTTTCTTCTCGTTGCTGCATTTCCCTTAACTGCCTCGTTTTTTGTGAATTTTTCTTTGCGTTGCCGTATCTCCCTCAACTGCCTCTGCGAGTTTTCTTCGCGTTGCCGTATCTCCCTCAACTGCCTTTGCGAGTTTTTCTTCGCGTTGCCGTATCTCTCGCAACTGCCTTTTGTGAGTTTACGCCGGTTTGATGCATCTCTTGTAACTGTCCCTTAAAATCTTCTTCACATGGCGTTACCGCCGATAACTGCCTCTGCAAATTTTCTTCACGCTTCTTCGTCTCCAATAACTGCCTCTCCAAATTTCGATCGCGTTGCTGCATCTCCCTTCGAGTGCGTTCTTCACGTTGTCTCGTCTCCAATAACTGCTTCTGCAAATTTTCTTCACGTAGCTGTATCTCCCTCAGTTGCCTTGGTGAATTTTGTCCCTGACGTTCACCAGCTGGTGAAGGTGATTGCACATTTTCTCCACGTAGATCTCGCACTTTCGCTGTTTTCCATAAGAAGAAAAAGAAAACCAAAATTAAAATCACCACGATGACAGAAATTATAACAATATATTAACAATGATTTATTCCCATTCTTTTACTAACAATAACTTACTGGAAGTAGAAGCGCGCAAATAGCCTACGACAAGCTTATCGAGGCGGGTTGCTTAACATATTGAGCTCTAACTAACAAATTTCAAACCTTAACATAAAACAAAATAGACAAAAATAGAGATAAAACTCATAAACATGACTAAATTGCACTAAACGTAACTATAATATATTAAAAACCGCATCTCATGATTCAAAACCTTTGTTTAAATCCCTCAATTATAAAATTTTGTGATATTATCCATCTTGAAATTCTTTCTTTTATTTATGAATGGTTTCACAAGATACGTCCTTCTTGTTTTGCTGATTCTTTCAAGCCATTATCTTCTGTCCATAGCCTGCGTAGCAGGCGCTTGGAAGTAGTGGGCACAAGAAAAAACAGGCGCGTGAGAACGAGACCTCACGTGTCTCCCTCGCGCCCGTTCTCTCTTTCGCTCACTACTTCCAAGCGCCTGCTACGCAGGCTATTCTGTCCTTTGTTTCTCTACATTTTGATAGATTAACCTAGATCTGTTTTTAAGCCCAACTCAAACTAGACAATATGGTATTCGCTCCCTTCGTTATAACTGTGCAAAAGTTTGGAATGCACTACCAGCTCACGCTAAACAAATTACTCATTTTTCGAGATTTCCTCAAAATAATAAGTTTAAATGATTGACGGGTATAGTAGTGCCATTAATTCTTAAAATAGTTTATGACAATGTCAATTAAACATAAGTTAGTAAATGATTGAAGTAGTACTTTTTATCATAATCAATATCACTGCACTGGATTCCTTTTTCTCATATTTATTTTCGTTGGGGCATCTACTCGATTAGTTTTATTAATTATTTTGGTGTCCCAAACTCCACACAAACAACAACAAGTATTAAGTAAAGTTCTTTCACATTTCCTCTTTTTTTCAAATTCCTTTTCCCCCTCTAAAGCTTTAATAATGTTGAATTTGTAATTATTTGAACATATAATTCATTTTCTCTTCTACATGTGATTGTATTCATATTGTTTAGAACGAATGGTTGTTATATTCCTATAATCGTGCATATTTTGTGTCAGTGAAATAAAAATGTGAATTGACAATATATTAGACTATGAACTATTTAGATGGAACCAACCACATTAATGGAAAAGGTGTCCAGTTACAGTCTCCCACGATTATGGCTTCTGGTAGGATAATTGTAATAACGATGACAACACAATAACCCTAAGTGAGGATTCTGAAATCGATGTTGGGATTTGGAAAAGCAATGGGGATCTCTACACGGCCCAGACGTATCGATGTAGTGGATATTCCCCTATTTTTTAACTGTCTTGATATTTTCGCCGGAAGCATATTACTGAGTTGTGCTGAGCTTTTTACAGTTATTGGAATAAACACCTCTCTCTATTAAACGCCCTGGCTTGGACCCCTAAAACTAATTAAACGCCCCGGGCGTCTTTTAGATCATTTGCGGTAAGCATTGTCTTTAAGTTGTAATACCCAGGAGAGATTCAAAACAAAGGTTATGTAACTTTTAGGGCAAACAAGCTGTACTATGAGAAGTGCGCAAATGGGGAATGTTATTTTATCAGTTCCTCGTATAGTCAGATCTGCTATTTTTAGCACAAATAGGCCATTTCCGAGTTTTCCCGGGTCTCTGTATCAAAACGAGGTTAAGTGCTCAGCCTTTGAAGGGAACCTCTTTTAGAATGACTATAAATGTGAGAGCTGTGAATGTTATGGTTCTATTGCGAACTGTATTCGCCGTAGGTTGCTGATTAGCCTGTTCCAGGCGTTCAGATAGTAGAGCGCGGGAGAAAAAATTCACGAAGAAAAAAAAAAAACGAGGGGAGACTAGAGGGGGAAAGGGGGAGAGAACGCCTGTAAACATTCCCTTACAGAGCTCTTTCCGCCCTTAACTGACCGCCGACCGCGAAACTGTGACATGAACTACAAAGTGCTGACAGGCTAGACGCGACCCATAAGCTCATGATGGTGTGAAACGTGACCGTTGAGTTAGCTCAGCCATGCATACTGGGCAATTATTTCCTGCGGTTTGTTTCTGAAAGAATTTGATTCCAGATGCAGTTAAGTACTGATTTTCTTTGACCTCTGTTTTAAAAAGCATCTTTTTATCGCGGCTAAATAACCTTTCAAATAAGATTTTTTTTTGGCCGTTCTGGACTTCCAGAAATGATCTTACACGCACACTTTCCTTTCACATTGCCTGACATTGGCGTGTCTTCGTCCATGCCTTCCTCCTGTCCTCAACCTATGGCTGTTGTCGCTGTTATTCCAAATCGCTTGAGCTTGGTTTCATTACGGCTGCGAGAGGCGCAACGATGATGATCGTGGAAATTGACTCGCCAACTTTTCCTTTAATTACGTTTATTATTCGTGGAAAGAGTAGAAAAGTGAAGGTCTCCAAGAGCCCGTTGGAAGAATGGCGAAAACGTCCTGGCCTCAGCGAACGAGATTCAAGCAAATTTTTTGCTCTTCTTTTTGATTCCAAAATACGGGAAATGCTCGATTGCATTGTTTATAGTAGCTTCGATGTCCGCGTGATTCGATAACAAACGTCTCTCTCCCTCCCTATCGCATTCCTCATCAATGTCACTAGTGCTTGATTGTTATCAGAAGGTGTCATAATCGACCAATAAGAGGGTATACTGGAATCCAGTATACCGGAACTACCCTTTGTTAACAATGTTTACAGGCGTTCTCTCGCTCTCGTTCCACCCCGTTCCTCCCCCCTCTCCCCCCGTTTTCTCGGTGTGCAACTTAACTCGCTCCCCAATTACCGCTGCGCTCTACTATCTGAACGCCTGTTGCTGATTACTCAGTTTCTTTGCAGAATATCCTTACAGATAGGAGATAGTCCGTGGGCCCTCTTCCTCTATTTGTGCGTCAACTTTTACAAACTTAATGTGTTAGCGTTTCATTTTTAAGGTTAAATTTGACCAGGATTTTGTGCAGCGAGTTCTATGGGTCCTCTGGTCACGATTGACTTCCAACTTGCAGATTTAAAACTGAAGAGCTCCTGAGGCTTATTTGCTGAAGTTATGGAAAAATCTGTCGTAGGGTTTCGAAGTTCACGTGAGCTGACCAAGATAGACGGACTTTTTATCAGTGCTCGTAAAGTTTTCCTTCTTTCTTAAATTGGATCTTTAATTGTTCTTCCTAAAAAAGTTGAAAATTTAGAGGCACGCGTAAAATGAAATTACACCCTGTAAAATACAATTTACGTGTTTTGTAAATTCCAATTTACATGATAGGATTTGTAAAATAAAATTTACATCAATTTTCAGTTTCCCTCACCATGTAAATTTACTGTAACATACATTTACAGCAAGTGTCCTTGGGCAGTAATGGATAGGAGACCATGTAAAAATGTGTAAAATGTTTTACACATATTTACAGTATCTTCTTTGTAAATAGCCTGTAAATCTTTCCTCTAAGAACATGTAAGTAAAGTGTAAACATCATGTAAATCAAGACACTGATTTGGCCGAGTAAGCACCTTGGGAAAAGAAAAAGAGAGACTGATTTGACCCTGTACTGGAAAAACATTGTAAATCAGAAAAGGGAGACTGATTTGAACCTTAGTGTACACTTCTTGTAAATAATTTGATAAAGGGAGACTGTACGTAAAAACCTTGTAAAAGAAGAAAGGATACTGTTCTTTTTTTACTCTAGATATCAACAAGGCAGTATTTCTTAACCTTTTAATAGGCTTCTACTTTCACAGCAATCCTACAACAAGTAAACAACAAGTAAATCGATGCTCTTCTCGGCAGGGCAGGAAGGAGTGTGCACATATTGTGAGTGTGCAAGAAGTATGGCTATAGTCTGGACTTATTTTTAAAACAATCACATCCATAGTCTGATTAGACCTCTTTTTACCTATGGCATTTCAGTATGGGGAGTTTCAAGTCATGACAAGTATCTTTCTAAAATTGATAAGTTTCAGGAAAGGGCAGTTCGTTTTGGCTTTCTTAAGGAGGCCATGCCCATTTTAAGCCTTGTAGAGGCCTCAGATAATAAGTTGTGGAAGAGGGTCACAAATTCTACTGAGGGCCATTTGACAGATCTCCTCCCACCCAGTAAAACAAGATTGCTACGGAATCATGGTCACTCCTATGTGCTTCTTCAAATCAGGACTGAAAGTTTTAAATGCTGTTTTATTAACAGGTGTCTTTTCAATTTTATCTAACTGTCAATATGAAATCCGGAACGTTTGTTATTGGAATTAACAGAGAGCTTATTTATGTACTTACCTATACTTATGAGTACCGAGGCTTAACCATATTCCTCTCAATTCGAAAACCAAAAAAATGAACAGTTGCAACTGATGTCAATGTAATGCAATTCATAGGAGGATAAAGGAGTGTTCCATAAACTTTACGCGCGCAGGAAAACATTTTATGACGACTTTATGACGTCGGGTTTTTAATCGTTCCAGGGGCCGGTTGCTCGAAGACTGGTTAGCGCTAACCGTTGGTTAAGAGGTATCAAAATGTATAGGTTTCCATGGTTTTTAAAGCTGGTTAGCACTAACCATGCTTCGAGCAACCCGGGCCACGTCGCTAAACGAGTTTAGTCGTGTTGCGCTTTGGAAAGAGAAAAGTCATTCTTGACAAAATGAAAACGTTTTTAATCTACATAATTTTCCTCCTAACAATGTTAGGAACTTCGACTGCTTCGGGAAATGTCAGCGAGGAAGGTAAAATTTGGGTTATTTTCACAT